GGAGGGAAAGAAGGAAAGAAAGAGAAGTCTTGCTGAGGTTGTTTCTAATGATGCGGTGAAAAGAAAAGGATGCTCTGCTTGTACTCAGAGAAAGAGAGAGAACATGTTTCCAGCCTCATATTGGAAAACAGAGCTTTGTTTCGTCAAGAAAAGATTCCAAGGTTTGACTCCAGCAACTGATTCCAATTACACTCTCGCTAATCCTTCTGGTCTGTGAGAGATACTAGTGTGGCCATGCATTTTGATATCTTGCTTAATATTTGATTTCCTGTTCAACAAATAAAATAATGGTTCAACAAATGAAAACTACTGGTTTACATCTTTAAATTTTGGGGAACAGGCAGAAAAGAAGCCCCTAATTTAAAATACCAGAAAACCCCACAACCACCCAGTGGTTGATCAAACATCAACCACTAGTCAAATAATCCAAATGAGGAAATAGAACTTGGATTTATTGGCACACAGAAACTGCAGCCTTGCCCTTGTTGCCTTTGAGAAATTAGCAAGCACTACCCACAGGTCTTATTCCAAAACTTCAGCACCTACATATTAGCAGTTGATGCCATTGGCAGACTGTTGTCATGAAGAATTTCTAGAAAGAATTTCTAGAAGAATTTCTAGAAAGCAAGCAGATGATGTAAGAAAATTCTATGCACTAAAAATGTGAGACTACTCGTTACAGATTGGAATCAAAGATCCTCTTCCTCCAGGATAATACGATATTAGTGGAACAGCACTTCTGTTAGCAAAGGAAGAGGAGAGCCACTTTCGCTGAATTGGCTCCGATTGCAGGCCCCCCTACACAGAAGAGTCCCCAGGACAACAGGAGCAGAATTTGGGAGGCTTAGCGGGCTGCAGGGAGAGGAAGGAAACCCCCATTCTGCAAGCTTCCTTCTGCTTTGTGGTACTTTCCAACCCAATATTCACTCAACTTCAATAGGGCTTTGATTAATGATTTCCGCCAAGAGGCAAGTTGAGGCAATGTCCTGTTGTTCATTGTACACAGATACATCGTTTGAAATAGTTTCTTTACACTATGTTATCGCCTTCATTGTACACAACACACCTACTAGTCATTAAACTTGAAAGAAAATTTCAGGGGTAGGAGAAAATGGTGGCAAGGAGAGATGCGTTCGTTTCTACCTCAAAGCAGCTGATTCTAAGATCTGAATTGTCCTGTTATGTAAGATCTCTTCATCTGTTATGACACAGTTGCCTTGAAAACAGACCAATTGTGAGCGCTGTGAAGATTTGGGAACTAAAGGAGCTGACAGCCCTGAGGCGAAGCGAGAAGTTCCACAGGCAAAGCTCCTCAGGCAGCCGCGCGGGAAACACCTGCCTGGCCCTCCCCTCCCCCCGCACATGGGAGGTGGTGCAACCAGCCGAGTCGGCTTCCCCATGCTGGACCAGCCTCGGCACATGGCTGGAGCAGCACTTGCTGTGCCCGCCGCCCGATACCAGCCAGCCGAGGGAGCAGCGGCCACACAGGGGCAGGCTGGGGCCAGTTGCCCACCTCTTTCCCGTCAGGGGCTGCCGCCGGCTCCACAGGCAGGCGTACCAAGCAGCACTGCCGTTCTCCTCCTCTTGCTCGGCTTCCTTCATGTGCGCAAGGGGAACCGAGGTGGTGGCAGCGGCAGAGGAGGTGGAGCCGCTGCCTTGTCAACCCTGAGCCATGGAGGTGGTGAAGGGAGCGGACGAGAAGCGCTGCAGGTGGCGGCTGGTGGGGTGGCTTGGCCCCCTTCCTCCAGCCCAAAAATAGCCCTGGGTATAAGTTTTTGTGAAAGCTCAAACTCCACCCATCATCCAGTGCTCGAGGTGATTTGTGATGAACGCTGAGAACTTTTCCTCTTTCCAGCACCAACTTTCAACAAAGTTTACAAGCTTCACGAACATCTCCCACGCCCATTACAACATAGTTTGTAGTGTAGATTCTATATAGGTAAAGGTTCCCTTGCTCAAAAGCCAGTCAAATCCGACTCTAGGGTTGCGGTGCTCATCTCCGTTTTCAAGCTGAAGAGCCAGCGCTGTCTGAAGACGTTTCCGTGGTCATGTGGCCGGCATGACTAAACACCGAGGCGCACGGAACGCTGTTCCCTTCCCACCGAAGTGGTCCCTATTTATCTACTTGCAATTTCTTGCTTTCGAACTGCTAGGTTGGCAGGAGCTGGAACTAGAGACGGGAGCTCACTCTGTCATGCGGCACCCTGGGTCTCGAACTGCTGAACTACCGACCTTCCACAGCCTGCAGTTCAACGTCTTAACCACTTGAGCCACCGCAGCTCCAGATATTCTATATAGTGTCATTCAAATTGGATAACTTCCCCACTGTTTCTTTCTGCTTCTCACTTTTAAGTTTTGGAAACAAGGTTTCCCCCGACTCCCCAGCACAGATGAATAGAGTGCAGGCATGAGCATGTGCTCACTTCACTCACCCTCGGAGTCCAGGGCTGGGTAGTTGAAGAGGGGCCAGCTGACCTTCAGGAAGACCAGTGGCTCAGCCCTCCAGGCAAGCAGATGTGAGTGGTGCAAGCCAACAGTGTTGCTTATCTAGGAACAAAAACGGACATTGGAAAGCATGAGAGGAGCCTCTGAGCCTCAGGAAAGCGATCCAGTCAGATTCTCTTTCCTGGCCAAGTAGGTTAGTGGGTCAGTGGCACGCAACTCATAGGTTCTCTCACCATTGTGTCTGCCAAAGCTTGACTTTTGCACCCCATGTTCCCACTAGTGCTGATTGCCTCTCTAACGGCCTCCATCACCATGGCCATGTCAGGATAGAAGGGGAGGTGGTGGTGGGAGCAGCAGAGCTGATTTCCATCTCTTCCTCTGCATCTTGAAGCAGCATGCCCCTCTTGCCCAGAAAATGCCAAACCTGCGGAGGGAGCTCCTCTCTTCACCAAACTGAGCTGCCTGGTGAGCTGGGTGAGGCTAGCATTGATGCGTGGGTCACACGTGGTGGCCAACATGGAGGCCTTCTGCCTGCTAAGAGATTCCAGGTAGGACACGATGCCCTCTTGCAGCCTCTGCATCAGCCTGCTGCTACAATCTCAGCATGTCCTTTGCTCAGGGCCCAGCAAGGCAACCATCTTCCCCTGAAGCATTTGGATCAAGGCAGTGACAAGACCCTGGATTGCCATGTCAGAAGGGAGTGGCTTGGTTAACTCCTTAAAGGCTCAAGGACCTCCACTGTCTTGTGCAGAGTTAACCACTCCTCTGCTGAACTCCTCCCCCCCCCCCTGCACAGTGTCAACCTCCAAGGTCTCCTTGTCCAGGGTGCTCCTCTGCTCCACCAGATGCTCACGCACGGTGCTGGTGGAGTTCCAGTGACAGCTGATGTCACTGATCAGGCACAGCTGTGGCACACTAATTAAGTGCCTGCTTCTGGCACAGCAGGTGAATAGACTCCACATTGTGTGAGAGGTGACTCATGATGTTCTGGCAGTTCTGGAGCAGATGCTGAGAATCATAAATCACAGTGTTGCCTTTGGGATTTTCTTCAGAGCCTGGAAATATTCCTGGAAATATTCAGGACCTGAATATTGGTATTCCAGGAATACAGACTACTTGCTCTGGATACCCCCCAAAATATCCGCAAGGTATTTTTTGGATATATATTCAGTCAGGAAATATCTGAACACACATTCCTGCCTACTTTCTAAAAACACTGGGCAGGTGCCAGTAAAGGTGCAAACATTCACTGTTGGAGACCCCTAGTAACGGTCTCAAATATCTCATGTCCGCCACATTCTTTACTATATCCTCATGACTTTCAGGCTATGTGCAGCATTTACTCTTGAATACTGTTTCTTCCATGACATTGGGTGCGTTCAGACAGGCAGCTAATCCCGTCATTATGTCAGCTTGAATTCTATCCCAATCTTTTTAATCCATTGTAGCACAACCAGACATCCCCCTGGTGAATTGCCTTACCGCACTGCCTCTGTTGTGGATTGTCTAGATGGCGTCCACTGAAGGAGGCATGCATGGTGGGTTTTTTTAAAAAAAACTTTGTGCGTGCGCATAGACGTGACAGCACGTCCTTGTTGATCCGCGCAGGTGTAGAGATTTTTTAAAATGGCGCCTGCTCGGGATAGTCTGATGTCAGACCACCCCGACGGGAGGATTGCGCGCTGGTTGAACGATCAGACAGGTGAAAGTCCGCAGTTGTCCCGCAGGTAACCGAAAACCCTAGATTTAAAGTGCTATCTTTTAAGTACGGCTCCGAAGCGCGGCAAAATGGGATGCCCACGGAAGAGGGACATTTCCCTGATGTTTGTGTCTGGACATTACCTTTAGATCCGTGAGGCAATTGTGCCTTGCACGGATCTAAAGAGCCATCTGATTGGACTCATAGTTGCTAAAATCAGTGTGTGTGGAGATGTCTTTGTGTTCTGCTCTGGCTTCCCTTGTCATAGCTTTGATCACAGGGCGTTTAACTGTCTTTTAAGATTGGGATGAAATGCGGTCCTCTTTTAACTTCAGCTATGCTGCCATGGGGGTTGGGATGCTCAGTCAGAGTCTGTGTAAATTGCTTTCGCATTCCTGTCTACGCTTTGCTCCGAAACGCTTATCTATAATGATGTGCAGGTGGGAGTGTGTGTTGTCTGCCTTTCCAGGCAGCCGTGGGAGCTGGACCGTTCCCAGCTTCGCCTAGAAACAGTTTGCTGGCTTTAGCCCACGTGTGGGAGGGTGCCTAATTGGCCAGCGCAGTGTGTGTGTGGGGGTGCATACGAATGCCCTATATCTTATTATGTCCAAGGGACAATTGCCATTCTTAACAGCGACTATGTTAATGCATCTATAGCTCTTCAATAAAAGTATAACCTTTCTTGAAAGCGTGTACTCCGTTGTTGGCTGTGGGTTCTGATAGTTCCCTTAATGCTAAAAGATCTGTCTGTTGCAGCACTAATAGGAGAGCTCACGCCCTCCCTCTCTGGGGCCAGCTATGCTTAAGAGGAGCTAAGCCACACAAGTAACGTTACTCTCTTGTCTTTTATTATTTCCCTCTGTCTCTCCCTGCTGGCCTTTTTGAAGAAACTGTTTTGAGTCTGACGCACACGGGATGATCAGGTAGCATTCCACGGGGTAGATATTCCTGTATTAGAAATTGGTGTCGGTCATAACTGGGTTTGCCTCTGTGTTTTTTCCAGGTGCTCTGAGCCTTGCTGAGACATTATGTCCTATCCCAGTGCTCCTCCGGGTTATGACGACAGGAACCCCCTCCATCCACCACCACCCCATGGGGGATATTCTGGGGGATATCCTGCTGGACATCCTGGGGCTTACCCACAGCCTCCGCCATATAGTGGCGGGTATCCACAACCAGGAGGCTATCCACAGCCAGGAGGCTATCCACAGCCAGGAGGCTATCCACAGCCAGGAGGCTATCCTCAACCGGTTCCTCCTATGCCAACACTTCCAATGAACTTTGGTAAGCTGATTTTTCTTCTTGGGTCAGGGACTTGTCTTAGTTGAACACCAGATTTAAAAACTGAAGAAGGTGAATGTTGTAACTGTTTTTGGCCTACTTGGAAAAATACAGTTTAAAGACAGGCTTAAAAAAGGGATAGATGTGTTGGAATTTAAGCTGTTTCCTAGAAGTAACCAGAACTTATCTTTGTTCTGCATAACAAAAAAAGGTGATTCGGTGATAATTTATTGTTTCCTAGAAGTAACCAGAACTTATCTTCTGCAGAACAAAAAAAGGTGATTCAGTGATAATTTAGTTGGATTCTGGATGGGGGAAGACCTCCTTGATAGGTTAAACATTTTCTTTTTGTGATGGTCCAATCCTCTATACTCAGGTTAACTTAGAATTGGATCCAGTCGAATGTTTCCCTGGGTGGAAGCATGGAGTGTAACTATTTAACCTTCCACCTCCTGCTAGAGCCCCAAATCCCCCTTGAAGGCTGCTCCTGGGGGTCCCAACTAGGAGCAGCATTTTAGAGGGCATTTGAGGATGCAGCCAGAGAGAACGAGGGTAAAGAGCTGTACTCCGTGGGTGGAAGTCCTTCCATCCATGGAAACACTCCACTGAATCTGAACACTAATGTGGTTTAAGTAGCTTTTAATGCCATCTGATTACCACCACCACCACCCACTGTTTCCCCCCACTGTTTCAATATGTGTTTATAGACAAAATATGTGTTCTAATCTGATTTAGTGATTGTGGAGCTAGTTGGAGTAGTTAAATCCAGGTTTAGTTAATTTGATTTTGTGTACGCAACATGGGGAGTGGTTGAGATTGAAGCTACAATATGTAATTCTTTCCCCCCTGATAGAATGGGAACATTATATGCTAACAACTATGCGAATGACCCTCAAAAACCTATTCTCCTACTACCTCTTTTCACCAAGATTGCTATCCTAAACAGAGTTACACCCATTGAAATCTGGGTTTAGAAGGCTGGAATTCTGATCAGGTTTGTACTGCAAGACACATACCTAGCCATCTAAAGCTGACTGAGAGTGGGTACCTAGTTGCCCAACACCAGGAGAATTTTTAATAAAGGGACTTGGTTCCAATAAAGGGACTCGGGGTTGGACTAGATGACCCTGGAGGTCCCTTCCAATGCTGTGATTCTATGATTCAATAGCAGCCCTTCAAGGATGCCTTTTATTCTCAGAGTTAACTAATCAGAGTGAGCATCACAAACAGAAGTTAGCTTCAAGTGAAAATATTATTTATTTATTTATTTAGATTTCTTGACCGTCCTTCCCCACTTGAATGGGGCTCATGGCGGTTTACAACAGGTCACCCAACAGATTATGAAGCTCCTAGAGCAGGGGTGTCAAACCTACAGCCCATGGGCCGGAACCGGCCTGCTCAGGGCTTTAATCCAGCCCATGGCACTGTTCTCCACCCCCCCTCCCCTGCCTGTCCTCACCTGAGGGAGATCAGGGCTGCCGAACTTCCCTGCTGGATGGGCCTTGTCGTCATCTGTTTCGCCTCCAGCAGGAAGCTCCACTGGGCTAAAGCACACACACAAAAAAATTGCAAGGGAAATGCAGAATGGATTTCCCTTTAAGGTTTCTGGGTCCAGATAGACTACTCTGGGACTGGAATGACAGCCGCCAGAGTGGAATGACAGCCGCCAGAGTGGAATGACAGCCCCTGGGAGTAGCAGCTGTTTTCTGGGAGTGAAATTCCACTTTGGGGGCTATTATTCCAGTCCCAGAGTAGTCTATCTGGGCCCAGAAACCTTAATGGAAAATTCATTCTGCATTTTCTTTGCAACCTTTTTGAGCTGCTTATATTTCAATGGAATGGAGCTCAAGTAGTTTCAGTTTCCAGTGTTTGTATGCCAGCTGACGTTGTCTCCTTGCAAATAAAGGGATGATATTTTGAGGCAGGTTGTCTCTGCTTAATGGACCTGAGAATGGGTGCCTGAGTGAGTATTCTAACCTGGGAACCCACAGCCAAAGGGGGCCATTACACTGGAGAGCCACTGCCACTCTGAGTAGACTGGGGGTGGGGGGAGGAGCTTGCAATGCCCAGCCATTTCATGTTTTCCTCGGCTCAGAGAATTCTATATTTTTTTGGGGGGGTAGTTTCTGCTGTGATCCTTCTGCTTTTTCTTGATGTTTTATTTTAAAAATTGCATTGCCAAATCCCACCTTTCCATTTTAGGTAGGCATTTTTTTAAGGACAGGGGGGTAAGGTTTGGGAGGTATCAGTTATCAAAGACTGTTAAATAAACAAAATATGGCAAGAGTGTTACCATTTTGAGCATGTTTTAAGTTTTAAAAAAACTTTAATTGTGTTTTTTGGTGTCCTTTATAAAGTTAATATCTTCATTACCTGGCATTACATTTTATAACACACATGGCCTGGCCTGAAAAAATCCTATTTATGTCTGATCTGGCCCTTGTAACAAATGAGTTTGACAGCCATTTAAAATGAGGGCTTTGTGGATTTGGAGGACTTTCACAGTGCTGACATAAGTAGCATTGTACCCTTCTGGCTTTGGGCTTAAAGAGGTGGCACAGTAAGGATGATGTTCCGTTTCTTTGAGACACTTAGTTTCACCCCCAATAATTTTTGGATGGTTTTAAAAACTTTCTGTCCACAATAAGCCAGGGAATCTCCTCTGCTTATTACTCTCCAGGTGTGGTATAAATACCCTGTGGTAATGCTATCTTATTTATTCACTTTAAAAAAAAATAAACTCCTGTTTTTCAGCAGTCTTCAATGTGGAGAAATGCACTCCAATTTGAGACGTATCATAATGTTGAGAATTTTGGGACAGGAAACAGAAAATTATTTGTAAGCAGCCGCATCCCATTGATGGCTCTCACAAGCACTTAGTACTTAAGGCTTGATTAAGCAAAATGTTTCTAGCCAGCAGAGAACAATTAAAGGGCCATTTCGTACCCTCACAGGAATGTAACACCTAGGAGTTAACAGAGACTTGGGGATGCCAACTACTAGATTGTTTCTCGTCCTGGGAAGCATAGGAAGAGAAGACCTGACCCACGAGGGGGTGTGGTCAGAGACAGGTAATAAACGTCCTCCACATGAGGGGAGGGGAATGGGGTCCATTTTGTTCTGAAGATAATAGGGTTGCCAGGTCTGATTGTTGTGCCACTGGGGGGATGGGGGGGCATTCCAGGAGGGGGCGGGGATGTCATGCAATGTACATACATAACCCGGAAGTGACATAGGCATGCCGATGACATCGGGGTGACACTCTAGTTTTTGAGCAAAACTCTGTGGTAAAATTGCCCTCAAACCATAGAGTTTTGGCCAAAAACCAGAGCATCACCGCCCCCATCACCAATGCACCCACATTACTTCTGGGTGGTATCAGCACGTCATGCACAACATCACTGTTGGGGGGTGGGGGAATTTCCTCTCACATGCCAGCAGGCTGCCAGTGGCCAGGAGCCCACGGAAGCAGGGGATTCCCCACCCCCACCTGGGGACTGGTAACCCTAGGAGATGAGTGGGAGGAAGGAGGTCTCACACCTTGGATCCATCTTGATGGTCAGCATTACCACATGGAGCTAAGTAAGGGCAGGCAACCAGGACACAGAATGCTGTAGCTTTAAGAGTAAAAAGCCTACCTTAGAATAACAACAGTCAGGGTATGATTAGTTGAGGATTACTTGGCAACCTTGCTTGATACACTGCTGTGTAGAGTATTTGTGTGGACATTTTCTTTTTAATATTTCTTTTTATTTTGAATGCTGTAACTTTGTTATCTGTAACCACAATAAGCCCCACTCAATCTCATCCTGGTAGTTGCAGGATGCCCCGACCCTTGTGCATCTGTGATCAGTGGCTATCATCCTTCATGTCTAGGGCTGCCAAGTCCCCCCCGGGGGTGGGGATTCCCCCCACTAAAAGGTTCCCCAATCCGAATCCGGCTGGCAGGGGAACCCCACCCCGAAGTGGCCAGATCAGGTCGATGTGCCCGGCGTGATGATGTAGCCTGGAAGTGATGTCATTATGCTGGGCACACTCTAGCAATCACCCTGAAAACTCTATGGTACCATAGAGGTTCATAGGGATGTGGGGATAGCAAGAAGCAACAGATGCCCAGCCGCACCACCAAGCCACCTGATCAAGAGCAAGTGAGGGCTGCTGGGAGCCTGGGTGTGCCATTAAGGAGGCTCAGGCTGTTGCTGCTGCTAATCAGGGATCCTGCAAGGGTTTCCCACCCTTTAAAGTCAGCAGCCGGTGGGTCCATCTGCTGGCTGATGGCTTTAAAGGGTGGGCTGCCTTTTTAGAGCTCTCTTTCCCCCGGGGGGAGGCCGAGTCTTTCCTGGAAAATATTTGGGATCCCCCAGCCCCCAAGCCCTCCCATAGTCTACGCCTACGCTCCAGTGCCTTCAGCCAATCTAGGTGCCCAGTCTTGGAGGCTCAAGCCTGTCAGACCTCGACCTTCCAATTGAGAAGTGTTAATACATCAAATGCTAGCATGTTTCCCCTCTCAGTTGGGAAAGGATGATCTCTGTCTGGTGAAGCGGGCCTTCTTCCCTTCCCAGCCAAAGAGATGCCTGGATGCCTTTCCATCACCATAACTGTCACAGCAGCTCTTGGCCCCTTGCCTCTTATTCACCACTCAGGTATGATTTATTCAGTACATTTGAATCCCACTCTTCTTTCAAGAAGCCAGGGCAGTAAACATCATTCTCCCCTCCTCCATTTTATCCTCACAACAGCCCTGTGAGGTAAGTTAGGCTGAGAGTGTGTTCCTGCAGCCCCCCATTCAAAATAGTGCCTGTGGCCTGCTGGAAACAGCACTGGGCACAGTGTGTGAGCTTGAGGTTGGAGGAGGAATTTGGTGAGAAACCCACCCCTGCTCCGTGGCCTGAAGAAGTGCTCTTCCAGTCCTCTGTTTTCCTGGGGAATTTCAGCAAAGCACTGAAAGAGCAGTTTGTTTTTGCAAACATTTGTATTTTTACTGTAATTCTATACTATGAGGCCAAAAAGGGAACACTTTTAAAGATTCCTAAAATGTAAAAATATGCTATCAGCATTTGTGAAGCTTATGCTTATATATATTCAAAAGGTACCATTGGAATCCTTTATTGATCTGAGAAGGGTAGTTATTTTCTTTCAGGAGATGTTGAGAGGTATAAACCTGTAGGCGATGAGTGGTAGGATTCAAAACTGTGTGTGGGAAGATGGGTCAGAGGTGGTGACAGCCGCAAAGCGGTGCTTGCATGACAAAAAGTGGAAGTCAAAAAGGGGGTACCTTTCTGGTTAAAAAAGGTCTAGGGATTGAAAAAAGGAAAGCTGGGAATTAAGAAGAACTAGTATGTTTTGGCAATTGATCTTTACATTACTGCACCATAGCGGATAAGCAATTGCTCGTGTTTTTCTTAAATGCCTACCGTGGGTGCATCTGTCAGAAGAAGGCTTGCTTTCTATTGGCATATATTGTCCCCTATTTGCCCTCTTTCCCATTGCACACTTGATTCACAGGGGCAGTTTCCCCACTTGGATAAGGTATCCCAAAATAGTGTAGTTTTTCAGTTACATTTTCTGCCCAGGTGTCATAATCCTAAACCTATAGTAGTGTGGCCTACAGGCTCCAGGGAGACCTAGTGGCTCCAGGGAAGCCTGTACTAGAATAGCTATCAGGTTCTGCATTTCCCAGGTCTCATTTAGCCCGTGTCATTAGTTAACAGGGGATTCTGAGGGAAAACGTATACCAGTAGAGGGTGGTGCCTGGGAAGAAGAGATAACAGGCCTTGCCCAAAGTGGGAGGCTGCTGCAGACAGAGGGATCCCTCATCCAGGAAGGGGTGAGTCAGCTTGAAGCCAGTCACCAAGAGACAGCTAGGAACAGTCTAGATAGATGTGTTAGGGTGTTTCATTTTGTTTGCTTACCTACCTTTGCTGCTCTCAATATTTAAGACATTACTTGAATTATAGTTCTTACTAGACATCTTAAATAAAATTGGTTATTCTGCCTGGGCCTTCACACCTCATTCGGTCACATATGAAGTATTCCCTATTGGGAAAGAATGGATAAGGGGTTGGGTGGGTGCTCTGGGCCCTCCCATGGAGACCCATACCAGAGTGGTGGCAGCCTGTGGAGAGCCTCCCTAGTCACTGCCTGCGACACGAGGGTACACTCTTGTCATAGCTAAAGGGAAGAGACAGTAAGTAAGATGGAAAGGAAAGGGGCAGGTTAAGGACGGGACTTATGAGAATGAGTTCAGCCAATGAGGGTATGGTGATCTCACCCTCTTCCCTCCCTCACACACATATGATAGATAGAAAGATATTGGCCCAGCCCAGGGAACTGAGGGAAGAGACAAAATCACCTTCTTATATTCAGCTTCTGTAATGTTCGAAATAAACAAAATGTTTTATTTAACTTAGAGGAGGAAAGGTCAGGTGGAATCAGGGGTAGGATGTATGAGGTGAACTTGTAAGAAAACTGAGATAAATTTGTAATCACACCAGTTCCAAATAATTTGTTGCCAACAAGTGTTTCTGCTATTCAAAAAGGTCTTTTAAAATTTTGACGAGAGAGGCTTTTTTTCAGTTTCTGCTTAAACACTCAAGCATAGGTTTCTGAGTTTCACTGACTCTTAAAGTCTAGAAGGCAGGAACATACAACCAAGTTCCCAGAATCCTTCAATATACACAGGCCAGGGATCACTCTCAAGAGCTATCTCCATTTTCACTGGGTAGGGGTTACTTCTATTAACTAGAAGCAATTTCCCTTTTCAGCTTGAACAAGGATCCTCTCTGATCCTCTCACTCCTTTTGCCTCATTCCCAGTCCACAGTCAGTGCTTAACTGTCTCTTCAACTCTAAGTTCCCAACTGTCATTTCTTAATTGACTCTCTCAACAGAATTCCGTTTGAACGGCCTGTCACTCAAAAGTTCTCAGTTAGGCATTAACCCTTAATAGTCTGTCAAAGAGTGGTTCACTGGCTGGACAAGAGTCAGTTCCAGAGTCATCCTGTAGTTTCCCCCTCCCATATACTTTGCAAGGCAATCAGGTGCAAAACTACTTAACTGGTTTCTGCTGACATCTCTTTAAGAAAAGGCCTGAGATTTGCTTTCTGAAAAAGGGGGGCATGGTATATTTCTAAGGGCATTAGACCCCCATGTGACACATGTAACTGTGGTCCTGATGGCAGTGGAATGGGAAATGGAGCATTTCCTCAGGTTCCTGTTAGAGAAGGTAAATGTTCAAAGTACCTGGATCCGAAACTATTTAGGGCTATAAAGGTCAATATCAATGCTCCCTCCTTATCTTGGCAGGTGACAGCTATGGCAGTAGTGGTACAGAAGGGAATGGGGGCTTCAGTTCTGCAGACTGGGATGACAAGAAAGTTCGACATAGTTTCATCCGCAAGGTATGTGGTCTCCATTGTGATCTCTGCTTCTCTGGAGGGAAATGGCCTGTGTAATAGTGCAGTGCACACTTGTATGTCAAAGAGAGTCTGAAGGGATCAGTCCTTGATATCCCACAGGGGAGTTCCTCCTTATGCTGTTACAGGAGAAGTATTACTCTAGTTTGTGGAAAGGTTACAGGAAGGCAGGTGGAATCTGTGGACAGGGATTCCTATCATGGACAGGGAATCCTATCTTGGGGTGACGATTAGGGTATTAATGCGGTCAACAAATAATGCTGGATTGTTTTCTGTAAAGTTTTCTCCTGTTATGCCTAGATGACTGTTTTAAAAGCATAGGAAGGGGCACTTAAGGACAGTATGCACTTTTCCAAATGCCTAAATGAGAAACTGATGTGGGAATGTATCCTTTACTCTCCTGGTTTGGGTTGCTCATTTCAGTTTCTGCCTCTGTGGCAGAAGAGCCAAGAAGCAGCTCCTGCAAGGTGCTAAATAAAGTCTGGGCCTCAGCCAAATAAGCATCCTGCTGTGGTATAATCAGCAGCAGAACTTGGGACATAACTTCCAGGCACTTTAATTCACCCCTAATGTATGTGACAGTTTCCCATGTGCATTTATGTACCCTTGCACTAACACTGTGTCTTAACATCCAGGTTTACAGCATCATCTCAGTGCAGCTGCTTGTGACAGTGGGCATCATTGCAGTTTTTACCTTTGTGTAAGTTCTTTCCCAGTCCTCTTATAGACAATCTGCTTATAAAACTTGTTCTGATATCTACTAATAAAACAAATACATTCCAATAAAATGATATATATTTCTTTTATTTGTCTGGAAGCTCAGAACAACAATTTTCAATTCAGTGGTAATAGTTTTTCTGGAGTTAGCAAGGTTATCGCCACTGTCTGAATACTGGTGGCAGCTCCATTAAGTGTTTAATCTTGACTGGAGTTAGCACTACCTAAACAGAACAAAAATGCTAAACTGCAGAGAAAAAAAGATTGTGTCTCCATTCCAGCTGCCAACCAAACAATGTAGTACAACTGGAGTGTACCTTCCAACTGTATGTTTAATTGGCTGGTGCTACTCTCATAGAAGGAGCTGTGGTGGCTCAAGAAGTTAAGACACTGAACTGCAGGCTGTGGAAGGTTGTTAGTTCAGCAGTTTGAGACCTGAGTGTGCCGCATGATGGAGTGAGCTCCCATCTCTAGTTCCAGCTCCTGCCAACCTAGCAGTTTGAAAGCAAGAAATTGCAAGTAGATAAATAGGTACCACTTCGGTGGGAAGGTAACAGCGTTCCGTGCGCCTTGGTGTTTAGTCATGCCGGCCACATGACCACGGAAACAGAGGTGAAGAATAGATTCAAGGGTCTGGATTTGATAGATAGAGTGCCTGAAGAACTATGGACAGAGGTTCGTGACATCGTACAGGAGGCAGCAATCACCACCATCCCAAAGAAAAAGAAATGTAAGAAAGCAAAGTGGCTTTCTGATGAGGCTTTACAAATAGCAGAGGAAAGAAGGAAAGCGAAAGGCAAAGGCGAAAAGGAAAGATTTACCCAACTGAACGCAGATTTCCAGAGAACAGCAAGGAGAGATAAGGAGGCCTTCCTGAATGAACAGTGCAAAGTAATAGAAGAAAACAATAGAATGGGAAGGACTAGAGATCTCTTCAAGAAAGTTGGAGAAATCAAGGGAGCGTTCCATGCAAAGCTGGCCATGATAAAGGACAAAAACGGTAGGGACCTAACAGAAGCAGAAGAGATTAGGAAAAGATGGCAAGAATACACAGAAGAACTATACAAGAAAGACCTCAATGTCCTTGACAAACACGACGGTATAATCACTGACCTTGAGCCAGACATCCTGGAATGTGAAGTTAAATGGGCCTTAGAAAGCATTGCTAACAACAAAGCTAGTGGAGGTGATGGTATTCCAGCTGAGCTATTCAAAGTCTTAGAAGATGATGCTGTTAAAGTGCTGCACTCCATTTGCCAGCAAATTTGGATAACGCAACAGTGGCCACAGGATTGGAAAAGGTCAGTATACATTCCAATCCCAAAGAAGGGCAATGCCAAGGAATGTTCAAACTATCGCACAATTGCACTCATATCACATGCTAGCAAGGTCATGCTCAAGATCCTACAAGCTAGGCTTCAACAGTACGTGGATAGAGAACTACCAGAAGTACAAGCTGGGTTTCGAAGAGGTAGAGGAACTAGAGATCAAATTGCCAACATTCGCTGGATTATGGAGAAAGCAAGAGAGTACCAGAAAAATATCTACTTCTGCTTCATTGACTATGCTAAAGCCTTTGACTGTGTGGATCACAACAAACTATGGCAGGTCCTTAAAGAGATGGGAGTACCAGACCACCTCACATGTCTCTTGAGAAACCTGTATAAGGGCCAAGAAGCGACAGTTAGAACCGGATATGGAACAACTGATTGGTTTAGCATAGGAAAAGGAGTACGACAAGGATGTATATTGTCACCTTGCTTATTTAATATATATGCAGAGTACATCATGCGAAATGCTGGCCTGGATGAATCACAAGCGGGAATTAAGATTGCTGGGGAAAAGATCAACAACCTCAGATATGCAGATGATACCACTCTAATGGCTGAAAGTGAAGAGGACCTAAAGAGCCTCTTGCTCAGGGTCAAAGAGGAGAGCGCAAAAGTGGGCTTGAAGCTCAACATCAAAAAAACTAAGATCATGGCATCCAGCCCCATCACTCCTTGGCAAATAGAAGGGGAAGTCGTGGAAATAGTGACAGACTTCACGTTCCTGGGATCCCAGACAACCACAGACTGTGACAGCAGCCATGAAATTAAAAGATGCCTGCTCCTTGGGAGGAAAGCGATGGCGAACCTAAACAGCATGATAAAAAGTAGAGACATCACCCTGCCAACAAAAGTCCGCATGGTCAAAGCAATGGTATTCCCAGTAGTCATGTATGGCTGCGAGAGCTGGACTATAAGGAAGGCCGAGCGCCGAAGAATAGATTCTTTTGAACTATGGTGCTGGAGAAGACTCTTGAGAGTCCCTTGGACTGCAAGAAGATCAAATCAGTCAATCCTAAAAGAAATCCACCCTGACTGTTCCCTGGAAGGCCAGATAATGAAACTGAAGCTCAAATACTTTGGCCACCAAATGAGAAGGGAGCACTCACTGGAAAAGACCCTGATGCTGGGAAAGATTGAAGGTCAAAGAAGACGGGGACGGCAAAGGATGAGATGGTTAGACAGTGTCATAGATGCAACGAACATGAAATTGAGCAAACTTCAGAGGATGGCGGAAGCCTGGCGTGATCTGGTCCATGGGGTCGTGAAGAGTCGGACTCGACTGTGCGACTGAACAACAAAAACTCTTCTGAATCTATTTGTTATGATGGTATATGGTGAACATGTCCAGTTTTGCAACTCTTCGCATTTAGTGGTAAGAGAGATCAGAATCAGAGTTCGAAAAGCAAGTTCTCAACATCCGTAGCAGAAGTTGGCAGTGCACAGCACTGATTGGCTAATATCTGCGTACCACATACTCCTCTACCACTTAGCTACAGAGCAAGTTTGTCATTTAAAAGTTAATTGAACAAATTTTCATATAGTCATCTAAAAGATAAAGAACAAATGAACAGCTGGTCTGAAACATGTAGGATGAGACAAGTAGATGATCACTGTTAAACCTGTTGGTGTGTAAGTCTCTGCACAGTGAAATCAAGAAGCCAGACTTAACCTGCAAGTAGAAATGTCCTGTTTCCATAGTACACTGGGAAGCAACCAAATACTGTGATCATAGTTTTTGCTAGTTGATTAAACAAAACCTTAGTTGATTAATCATATAAGTTACCCTAATATTAATATATTTTCATATAAATCTTCTGTTTTTGAGTGGCAACATTCTATGCGCTCCCTCAGCCATTGGCCCGTCGGCCACCACTCAAGAGTATTCGCGTGCCATTGGCCGCGTGCTGGGTCTGCTCCTCTTTCCCATCCACTCCCCCTTCAGCCACTGTGCCCTGTCAGAATTACTGGCAAACAGC